TTTTGGTATTTTTGGTACAGACAGGATTTTGCTATGTTGCCCAGGCTGGTCCTGAACTCCTGAACTCAAGCGATCTGCCCATCTTGGCCTCCCAAAGTGCTGGGGTCACAGGCATGAGCCACTGCACCCGGCCTGTAATCACAATTTTAAATAAGTTAAATGTCTCACAGTCAACTTCAGTTAAACACGTTATGCTGTAGCCCTCAGGGGTGGAGTGAAATGAGAGGTGGTACTGTGAGGGAGATGGCACAGGCCAGCACGAGCTCACTGGCACTCACTCTGTTATGGAGCTTAACAACTTTCTTAAACTTTGAAATCATTGCAATTTACAAGGAGTTACAGGGAGCTGTCTTGGGAGATCTGTGTGCCCTTCCCTCATTGTTACGCTTTTAGACTTAAATATGTTGCTCATATTCTTTTTATGTGTCAAACAACACGTATAAAGTCAAATTATTTAAGTAAATTGAAGAAGATAGTAATGATATGGGGAAATAGTAATGATCTGTTACCAAGTAAAGAAGGTAACACTTCATTCTGTTCAAAAAATTAAAACTTGGCCAGGCGCAGTGGCTCATGCCTGTAATCCCAGCACTTTGCGGGGCTGAGGTGGGTGGATCATTTGAGATCAGGAGTTTGAGACCAGCCTGGCCAACATGGTGGAACCCTGTCTCTACTAAAAATACAAACAAACAAACAAAAATTAGCTGGGCGTGGCGGCGGGTACCTGTAATCCCAGCTACTTGGGAGGCTGAGGCAGGAGAATCATTTCTTGAACCCAGGAGGCAGAAGTTGCAGTGAGCTGAGATCGCGCCACTGCACTCCAGCAAAGAAAAAAAAAAAAAAACTCTCAAAAAAAAAAAAAAAAAGAAAAAAAATTAAAACATTTGTGTCTATGTTTAAACATCCCTTTATCCATGTTTATTTTCACATACACACCCCCGAACCTTCAAGGTACCACATCAGAATGTCACCGTGGTTCTCTTTCCCACGTGACCTGTATCACTTAGGATACCTAGCAGTATTGCGTTCAGCAAACACAGACTCGTTTATTTCATGTGTCTGGAAGTCTGTGGTAAGCAGCGCAGGGCTGGGCAGCAGCTCAAAGCCATCACAGCCCCATGCTCTCTCCCGCCTGTCTGCCCTGCTGCCCTTCATGGTGGTGTTTTCACTCGTGCACGTTGGCTGAGGTTTCAGGCCTCACCTCTGTGTTCCAGGCCCGAAGAAGGGATAGAAGCTAGCGGGCAAAGGTGTGCTAGCTACACCTTTTTTTTCTTTTAAGAAAAGTAATAACCCCATTTATTTCTTACTGGCTGTGAGCAATAAATGTGTGTCACAGGGCCAGCGGTGGCTGAAGTCAGCCAAGGCGCAAAGGCTTCTGGGTAGAGGTTGATCCGCCAGCCAGTACCCCAGTGTCTGCCACGCGGGGTATGTTTCCATGTTTTCCAAATTTGCTCTGATGAATGTAAGACTTTTATAATAAAACCATTAAATCTTTGAAAAAAATATTTGTCTTTCTCAGTTCTGCATTCAGTCTTGAGACGAAGTGGTGGCTGGTGCCACTTCCCAGGTGGGCGTTTCTCCGTGGGGGTGTAGTCTGCAGGCAGAGGCTGCAGTCTCTTCCTCGCTCTCCCAGACACCCCCGTCACCGTGGGGTTACCCGAGGGCCTGTGGTGGTGCTGGTCGGACTGAGGCCCATTCTCGGAGGGCTGAATGGCCTGCGTGTGTGGGCTGTGGGCTGGTATGGTGCTATTGATCCCTTCTCACCTGGGCCCTCGGGACCCCGGAAGGCTGCGGGGGGCCTGCGGCAGCTGATGGGGGCTGCGTCCTTCAGCCCTGTGGGTTCCAAGGAGCCCATCTTTCGGGCGAGCTGGTGGTAGGCTCTTGGGAAGGCAGGAGAGAGGCTCACTGTTTTCCCTTTCTTTTCCGTCAGCATCCAGCACGTGTATGGCGCCCAGCACCCCCCCTTTGATCCACTGTTACATGGCACGTAAGTGACGTCCTAACCTCACTTGGCTTCTCGGCTGTGGCAAACCCTGTCTTCCTGCTTCCCCCTGCTCCCAGGCATTCCTGAGGGAGGAGAGTGGCTCCTTATTCAGCCGCGCTGACCAAGCAGTTGCTTTGTGGGAGACGCTGCGCACCCCGTGCTGCTCATTCCGGTGAAGACGGTGGATGTGGGGGCCACAGCCTGATGTGGGGAGGTGGCGGAGCCCTGGGGAGAGCCAGGAGCTGGCATCCATTAGCCACGGGCAGCCTGGCTCCAGGCCATCCATGCTGGCTTGTCCTTCCCCTCCTCCTTCTTGCATTCTCCACTTGTTGCTGGGGCCCGGCCCTGGCCTGTCCTGGCCCCTCCACAGCAGGCGGGAGCGCAGGGCGTGGGACTTGTGCTGGCTGGTGTGGCCCTGCAGGACTGCGCCTGTCTGAGAGGTGTCTGACTTGAGGTTGGGCTGATGCTCTGTGTTGTCATATTTTGGGGGAATCTCACTTAAGTGATCGTGTCTTCAAATCCGTACAGCACAGGCCTGTTCCCTGCACAGGAGCTCCTGGCCCACACTTCCACTGCCGGGTGGGAATCTTATTGGGTCTCTGGGAAGGCCACAGGCACTGGCCAAGGGCAGCTGGGGCGGGGTCTGCAGGCTGTCACTGTGCGGCCCTGCACCTCCTCACAGGTGGCCTTCCCGGAGCTCTTTCCCCTCTCCCGCCACTGTCCCCATGGCTTCGGCTGCTCTTATTTTGGCTGTCTGTGTGAATCGCCTTTGCTTTTTCACTCACTATTGCCAGATCGAAGCTGAAAACTTCTGTGTATGCCTTTTTTCCTGGGGACTCTTTTCTGGCTGGTTTTGGGTGAAGCCTTTGAGCCTGTGTGAGTCAAGACTGCCTTTGCATTGCAGTTTGCTCAAGTCAACGGCCAAGACGCCAACCACACCAGTGAAGGCCAAGAGGGTCAGCACCTTCCAGGAGTTTGAGAGCAATACCAGCGATGCCTGGGATGCGGGGGAGGATGATGATGAGCTCCTGGCCATGGCGGCGGAGAGCCTGAACACCGAGGTGGTCATGGAGACGGCCCACCGCGTCCTGCGCAACCACAGCCAGCGGCAGGGGCGGCCTGCGCTGCAGGAGGCGCCGGGGCTGCAGCAGAAGCCCAGGCCTGAGGCGGAGTCCCCTTCGCCCCCCAGCGGTGACCTCCGGCTGGTGAAGTCCGTCAGTGAGAGCCACACGTCCTGTCCTGCAGGTACGACGGGGGGACTGGAGAGACGGTCTGTCTGGGCTTCTGGCCGAGCCAAGAAAGAGGCCAGTCCGCTCACTGTGGGAGAGTCAGTGGGCTCCTGTCCTCATTTGCAGCAGGCCTTCTGGCCATGAAAGCCGTTGCAGTTCTCTTCCAGGGGCAGGGGAGCGGTCTGTGCTGTTCCCTCGGGCCCCATGTGCTTTCTTGTGTCCTAGCTGAGTGGAGTGGCCGGGCACCAGGCTGTTGTGGGCTGGCCGTGAGAGGGCCACAGGCAGGCAGGCGCTTGGGGGACACCGTCTCCCTCCTGACTCCTCCATCTTGTGCTGGCTCCGTGGGCGGTGATGCCAGCTGAGGGGTCAGGCCGGCTATACGTTCAGGGGCTGGCCCTCTAGGCTGCTTACAGGGTTCCTGCCAGGGGTGCCTCCAGGTGAGCTCAGGTCCGTCGGGGCTGGGTGTCTGACTTTTGGGCCAGCTCCATTTGCATTTTGCCCCCCTTGGGTGGGGTCGTGTCCGGGGCCGTGTGCGTGGCGCTGGTGTGCAGCAGCTGCTTTTGAGGCTGTTTCTGTGGCTGACGCTCTTCATGTGTCACAGGTCATCACGTCTGTGACGGAAAAGCTGCACGGTCGTGTGATGAACCCGCTGGGTCGGGCACTGTTTTCAGGGCTTGGCATACCCCAGTGGACAGACTGAGGTACCTCTGTGCCCTGTGGAAAGTCCGTTCTGGTGAGGGGGATGGATGCAGCACTGCCCACCTCCAGCATGGGGGCACAGAGTGTGCGCGGAGGCAGCGAGTGCCACCGTCAGGAGAGGCGGACAGTGGGCTGGGAGCGCGGGGGCCGTGAGAGCAGCGGGGAGCACGTGTCCTTGTGCGAGCAGGGTTGTTGGGAGGCTGGGGGCTAGGGGCAGAGGCCAGCTAGGGCGGCCACAGGCCCTCGAAGGTACCTCCCTCCAAGGTCTTCTCTCCCCACATTTCCAGCTGAGAAGACGGAGATTGTTGAGTAGCCCGAGGTTATGCTGCAGAACTAGGTTTCAGACCTAGATCTAGTTTTCCAAACCACTCTCTAGGAATTGGTTAACTTCTGAAATATTACAGCTCTCATTAGGTGAGAATGCTGTGCGCGATTTCATTTGATCAGTTTTCTTTTTGGAGCTGAACACATTTTAAAGTCTTTGAACTCGTAAGTGGAAATCTGGTTACGGCCTTTGCGGGAGGGTTGGAACCCTGCTGACTGACTGAAGCGTGCACTGCCCGCCTCCTGCAGCGCAGTCCTGGGCTCAGCTGGGGCAGAGTTGGTGTTGGCAAGATCGCTGGCCTCATCTGCTCGCAGGTGGTGCTGACGTTGAAGCTCTGTGGGCCTCTCAGCACCCTGCCCCCTACCCCCAAGATGCAGGGTGCGGTCGGTCTGAGAGTGGCCAGGACCGCAGGACCACACGGTGTGTGGCTGGGGGATCTGACCAGAGGCAGGCTCAGGCTGCGACCAGCCGGGTCAGGGGAGCTGTGGGATGTCACCCTGGGATGGCCTCATCCTGGAAGAGCCAAGTGCAGGATGCTCCAGGCAGGTAGTGCTGGGAGAACGGGTCTGTGCCCCCATTGCCCTGTGCCCCCGCTGCCCTGTACCCCCATTGCCCTGTGCCCCCGCTGCCCTGTGCCCCCGCTGCCTGCATTGGAGTTGGCCACATTTCCTGTGTTTACTTTCTGGGCAAGCGTTTTTTGGGCGCTTCAGCTTTATCGATCATTTACTGTGTGGCAAGCACTATCGTGAGCCCTTGTGATGATAAACTCATTCAGCTTTGCAGTAGCACTAGGACCTAGGCTTGTGGACCCTGCTCAGGAGTGAGTGGTCCCTTCAGGGTCTTGATGCAGTCACATCAGTCGTCTCTAAAGATCGCAGGGAAGTCCAACTCTGGGACACAGTGCGCAGCTGTTCCTCCTGCCAAATATCGGTTCTGGGGAACTGTAAGTGCTGCTGAAGCAGGAGCCTCTGGAGGAGGCAGAGGGGCACTGTCACCCACGTCCTCCCCTCTGCTCAGGGGCTGGTTCTCAGCCCTCCCTGCAGTAAGGCCGGCAGCGGGAACTCCAGAGCCAGATGCCCCGGGCTGGAGCCCCAGCCAGCCCTCGGTGTACAGCTACTGCCAAGCAGGAATCCCAGCAGGTGCTGAGGCGGGTTGAGGGGAGTCAGGGAAAGTGGGCAGCGAGCATGGGGGGAGGAGACAGGGTGGTACTCTGAAGTCTATGCCCCTACTTCAGCAGACTTTTGGACATTTAACTGGGCCCCATTCTGCCCAGAGGCCATAGATTGCCTGGCTCCTGGATGGCCTGAGGGTTTCTGTGTGAATCCTTCTCCCCATCTCCAGGTTATGAAGGAAATCGGGAGCCGTGTGGGAAGGAGGGCACAGGGCAGTGTGGCCCTTACCTCCTCACTCCAGCGGCTGCTGGCGCGGATGTCAGCCCGTCAGCTGCAGCACGTGCTCTGGCTTCATTTCCTGGAGTTTATTTTTCACTCCACTTTAATTTTCAGTTTTTGAAAGATGCAATAGCTGGACAGGATTTAGGCCTAGGAGTTTGGAGCCTTTCCCACGGGTGGCCGTGTTGAGTGACCTGAGGGCCTTAGGGTCTTCCCTGGGGCTGACCTGGTCCGGGGTTACTGGGTATAACTGCCTGTCTCACATCTTGCTTGGATCTCCATGGGCCTGTGCATCTTGGGCTGGCACAGGAGGCGGGAGGGAAGGTGGGCAGCTTGCGCCCTAATGCCACCTCAGTCACTGCCTGTGGTTGCGTCTGGGAAGGTGCCACCCCTCACAGGTCTCGCTTTCTTTGTTTCTTTGGGATGAGGACCTCTGTGTGATCTTCCTCCCAGGGCAGTGGTGAGAGCCAGAGAGGGCCAGGCAGGTGGCGGGGTCGGGCATGCCCTTGAGACAGCAAGTGAGTGCCCTGGTGAGTCCCCACCGTTGCCTCCTGTCCTCAGCGTGTCTGCAGGCTTGCTTCTTTCCCTCACAGTAACTTGCGGGGCTGCCCTCTGCGCTCAGGCCTGGCTACCCCAAGACCACCCTCCTGTACAGACCCTCTGGGTCATGTCACCTGGGCAGCCCCTGATCCGCCATCCTAGGCACTGGTGGGACCCTGACTACCAACACAGCCCAAGGGGTCCTGGCGTTTTTTGGCTGTCATTGTGTTGCTTTTATGCGAGGTGTGTCCATTTCATTGATGAATAATACTCTGCCAGTGAGGTGAGTGAATTTCAGAGGTGTCGCTTCCATGTTATTGCTCAAGAAACCGAAGTCCCCACTGCCCAGTGGTGGGAAGAGGGGACTGTTCTAACCCCACAGCATTCACAAAGGGACAGTGACACAGCAAGGAAGAATGTGGGGTTGGGAGGAGTGCCCTCACCCTCACCCCCCTCTCTCACCCCTGCAGAAAGTGCCAGCGATGCCACTCCTCTCCAGCGGTCCCAGTCTCTCCCACACTCGGCCACTGTCATGCTGGGTGGGACATCTGACCCCAGCACCCTCAGCAGCTCAGCGCTGAGCGAAAGAGAGGCCTCCCGGCTTGACAAGTTCAAGCAGCTGCTTGCGGGACCCAACACGGACCTTGGTAAGCGCCCTGCCCGCTGGAGGACACGTGCAGACATTTCTGGCTGTTTCTGAAATAGATCACATCTGAAAGGATTCTGTGTATGCTTCTGTATTGCACATGCTTCCATGTGCCATTTGCCTTGGAAGAAGGTGATGCGTTTGTGTAATGTTTTCATGCCAGTAAGTCACTAAGGTAGTAGCAATTTGTGCTGATCGTTTTTTTGGAGACATGTTTTGTTAATGTTTTTCCAATGCAATTTGAAAATGTATTTTCCGTTCCTTTTTATTTTTATTTTTTTAATTGAGACTGGTTCTTACTCTGTCTCCCAGGCTGGAGCGCAGTGGTGCGATCATAACTCGCTGCAACCCGGAACTCCTGGGCTCAAGCAATCCTCCTGCCCCTGCCTCCCAAGTAGCTGGGACTACAGGCTTGTGCCACCATGCTCACAAAGTTTATTAAACAATTTTTTCTAGAGATAAGGGTCTCTCTATGTTGCCCAGGCTGGTCTTGAACTCCTAGGGTTAAGAGATCCTCCTGCCTCAGCCTCACAAAGCACTGACTGGGCTTACAGGTGTGAGCCATGGTGCCTGGCCCGTTCTGTTTTCTTATTGTCCCAGTTGCCCTCTTTATTATTGTGACCGTTGGTGAGCCCTTCAAGGCTGGCCAGGTGGACATCCAGGATACCATCCTTTCATGGTATTCTGAGACAGCGGCTCATGGGGACACAGTGCTGGCGACCATCAACTGGACCTGCTGATTTTGCACTTTCCTGCCCTGGGGCTGGTGGTCACCAGAGGGTGACAGGCTGTGAGCCATGCAAGGGGGCAAGGGTGAGGCTGGAGCAGAGGGGCAGGCCCTCAGGGCAAGCGCAGTCAGCAGCCTGACCCTTCCTGCGGGAGCTGCTTCCAGGCACACACAGTGCCACGTGGACTGCCGCGGCCAGGCTCTGTGGAACACACCCACTTTGAGTTCCTCCGGTGGAATTGCTACTGAATCCACGTTCTTCCTTTACGAATCTCATCTTCGTGGAGTGCCACTCTGGCAAGGCATGTGCTAGACACTGGAGCTCTCGGGGGGACCAGAATGTGGCCTTGGTCATGGGATTGCTTCATCGGGCAGACACACCTGTATCAGACAGTTGTGGCTGGTGCCACCTCGGCACTGAGAGCCGGAGGTGCAACGCCTGGCTCGGCCAGGAGGTGGCGAGTGGGGCGCGCGGATGGGCCAGCGGGAGCCGCGCCTTCAGGCCCAGAGGCCCAGGGCAGGGGGAGGGTTTCTGGCAGAAGCGGTGGTTCACAGGGCACAGCTGAGGCTGCGTTCCCGAGGCTGCGGAGGGCGGCTCCTGGGAGGTCTCCTGGCTAGAAGGACACAGCTCTGAGTGAGTTCTCAAGGTGGGTTGTTGTTTCTCCCTTAGGTTTGTTTTTTACAACAGTAACGCTTGCATATGCTGTAACAGTACACAGGGCACACCGCACAGCAGGTGTGTGTGGAAGGAGTCCTGTCCCAGCCTCCACTTTCCCTTCCTTTCCACAATTCCAGGTGTCTCCTTCCAGCGATGGCCCATGCACATGTTGTTTTAAACGTTTTATGTTGATGTGATTCAAACTTGCAGAACATTTGGCAAGAACAGTGCAAACAACTCCCATATGCTCTGTACGCAGAATCACCAGTTGTTTACGTTTGCGCATTACCATTCTGCATGTGTGTGCCTGTTTGTGTGTCTGTGTGTATGCTCCCGAACCATTTGAGAGTCGGTTGGAGATAGATCCCTTTACCTGTAAAACCTTCACTGGAGATTTCCTAAGCACGAAGGCATTCCGTCAAGGCAGTCACAGCGCAGGTGTCAGAATCAGGACGTCTCACATTGGCACAGTCCTGTTTCAACACGTTTATTACCATAATCCACAGTCCACGTTCACATTCTGCCGGTGGTGGGGACCGTGAGCTCCATTCAGGTGTCGTGCCTCTGTCTTCTCCATCCACCTGGAACGGCAGCTTTGCCTGACTCTGTTTCCATCTTGACACTGGAGCAGAGCACAGGCCAGTTATTCTGTGGGATGTCCCTTGGGTTGTTTGGGTCTGATGCTTCCCCACGATGAGATTCTGGTTGATAATTTTTGGCAGGAACATCACTGACGGGATTCGTGTTCTTCTGGGTCAGCATGGTGGGGTGCGTGGTGCTGCTGGACCCTAACAGTGGTGATGTGGACTCCGCCTGCCCTTCCCGCTGAGCGCTCCCTCTCTCCTCTGGTGACGGGGTGCTCTGTGAGAGGTGCCCTGGGGCCTGTGCGTCTCTGCAGTGTGCTCCCTCTCTCCTCCGGTGACGGGGTGCTCTGTGAGAGGTGCCCTGGGGCCTGTGCGTCTCTGCAGTGTGCTCCCTCTCTCCTCCGGTGACGGGGTGCTCTGTGAGAGGTGCCCTGGGGCCTGTGCGTCTCTGCAGTGTGCTCCCTCTCTCCTCCGGTGACGGGGTGCTCTGTGAGAGGTGCCCTGGGGCCTGTGCGTCTCTGCAGTGTGCTCCCTCTCTCCTCTGGTGACGGGGTGCTCTGTGAGAGGTGCCATGGGGCCTGTGTGTCTCTGCAGCGTATTCCCTTCCCCACTGTACAGGAAGGCGGTTGTGTACTGCACTTTTTAAAGGGATGATGTATGTTCCAATGGTGTCCGTGGAGAACCGCCTCAGTCTTTAGAGTGCCCTGTAGCACGCCATCCTGTGGGTGTCCCGCACTCGACTGCACCAGCCCCTGTGGATGGGCAGGCAGGTTCTTCCTAATTTACTATTATTACAAACAACTTGAGGACTTTTCTTCAGGCATCTGAGCTTTCTGCTGTGATGATGAGATTCACAGAGCCTGCCTAGGCCTGGGTGGGGTGAGGAGGCAGCGTGGGGATGGCTCTGTGATTTTGGCTAGAGCACCGGGTAGGTGGAAGCACCAGCCACCGAGGTAGGGCATAAAGGTAGCTCGTGCCTACAGGAGTCTAGTCCTGTGCTTGAGGTACCCATCTTGGCCACCTCCTCTTCCAGCCTGCCACTGTCCCTTCTCTGCTGGCTCTCATGCCTCCAAGGTGGTGTGGGGATACAGAACCACATTGCGCTTGGGAGGGTAGGTCCTGGAGCCGGGCTGCCAGCATGGAGAGCTGCCTGGTGACCTTGAGCCAGCTGGTGATGGTCTTGTGCCTCAGCGTTCCCGTTTGTGTGATAGGCATGATGAAAGCAGTGTTCCCTTTGCAGATTAAATGAGATAGTATGTACAACATGCTTCAGAGAGTGCCTGGCACGTACTAAACACTCAAAAATGTTCATTATTTTCATGGCTGTTCTTGTGCTCACTTGAATTGGCCTTTTTATCCCCTCAGTCGATTTTTGCGCTATTGATGTATATGGTCACTTTTGTGGTCAGGGACGAGTCAAGTGACTTACAGATGTTTTCCTGCTTCTGTCCCATGGTTGCAGCCATAGGCAGGTGGCAGGGAGACAGCTGGTGAAAGCAAGATTTGCCTAATGGGAACCCTGGGCTGGGTCAGTGGAACCCACCTGGAATCTTCTGGTGGACTTTGTAATTGAAGCAACTTTTGGAAATTAAAATCATACTTACAAGTAAAGGTTTCAAGACTTGTGGGAAGAGGTGAGTATGTAGGGCTAGATTTTAATGTTAAAATCAAGTTATTTTGTTAGGTTGAGGGGACTGTGGGTTTTTTTCTTTCATTATAATTCCATGTAAATATCAAATTTAAACCCCAAAATGCTAAAAGCAGAGCTTTCAAAGTTAAGCAATTACTGCGTTTGTATTTAGTGGCAAGAGAAAACATAGCCAGTAAATTGCCTGTTTTTATAAGGTATTTAATATAGCTTTGGAAGACAGTGGAATGCACTATCTTCACATTACATGAAAGACGTAAGTGGCAAATATTTGCCCATGTTGGAGAAGCAGATCACCGATGTGAGAAGCGCCTGCAGAATTGAGCCTGTCTGCCGCATATCATTCTGTCCAGCGGAGTGCTGTTTTTCTTTGTTTAGCTTATGCTCTGTTATGAGCTTGGGGATGAAAGTAGCAAATAGAACTTAACAGCTCATTTTACTCTTAGCATTGGCTCAATATTTACTCAGAGAAAGACTGCCTGCTTCGAAGCCCTGGAAAATGACACTCATGCTGGTCACTTGTGTCTGGTGAATGGCAGTGCGATTTGGTGGCATGCATAGCATGCAGTTTCCCGAGGACCATCTGGGGCCCGCCTCGCAGCAGTGGGACCTCGGAGGGCAGACCGTGTGTGCAGCTCGGCTCTGGCCCTCAGGGCTTTCAGACGGTAGGACACGAGGCACTGCTTCCCTTCCTTCAAGGAGTGGGGCCAGGCCATGGTCAAGCTCCTCCTCCCCCGAGTGCTGGGCAGCCAGTCTGGGCTTTATGAGAGCATGCTGATAGAGGGAGGTCGGGGAGAGGGTGTTTTGGGGCTGGGGGGGCATGAACAAAAGTTTGGAGGTGTGGGCCTCTGCAGCACAGATATGAGGAGTAGGTGTCCCCTTGGTGTCTGTGGCTGGAGGGCAGCCCTGAAGGGGCCTGGGCCCTTGGTGACAGGAGGCAGCAGGTGCAGCCTTGGAGTTGGTCCTCAGTGTGATGGCTGGCTGTGTCCCTACTCATGAAGTGGCTCAACCTCCCTGTCTCGTCAGCCGTAGAGGGGGCATGAGACCTGCCCTCAGGGTCCTTGCGAAGGTTGGAAGAAATGTGAGTAAAGAGTCACTCATTCATTCAGTGTCTGTTGAGCACCTGCTGTGGTCATGGGCACTGGGAGAAACAGGCAGTCAGGCTCGCAAGGGCTCTGCCCTCCAGGAGCTGACATTCTCATATGAGGAAACAGACGGGGCTGACTTGGTACCCTGGCAACCATCAGAAGGCAGGAAGTGTCTGGGGGGAGTGAAACCGTGTGGAGGAGTAGAGGCTGGAGCTGCTTTGCAGTTAGCTGTTTCTGGGGTGAGATCCGGATGGCAGCAGGCATTTGAAGAGGGGGGCACGAGCATTCTAGGGAGAGGCCCAGAGGTGCAAATGTTGTGCGGGCGATAGAGCTTCCTGTGCTTGAGGAATGGCTGAGGCTCCGGCCTGGCGGCTGAGTGGGGCGGGGGGAGAGGCCCGTAAGGCAGCCAGGGACCTGGTACCCAGGGCTGACAAGTCCAGGAGAAGAAGCTCTGCTTTTACTTCGAGGACAGCATGAAGCCTCTGGGAGGTTTTGAGCCGGGGAGTAAAGCGTGGTGCGGAGCGTGGGAAAGCGGTTGCTGTTCTGCGGAAGGAAGAGCTGATGACTGCTTCTGAGCAGAGCGTTGCCGTGGCCATGGGCTGGGTGGAGTCCTTGGGCAGCTCTTGGGAGGGGTGGGGGAGGGTCAGAGTAGGGTGGGAGACTAGGGGGCAGAAACAGAGGACCGGAGCTGGGGATGCGGGGTGGCGTGGGCTGGGCGAGTCGGGGGCTGACTGGATTTGGAGCTGGGTACACTGGCGAAGGCGAGAGCCAGGACCCCCATAACTTAGAGCCTGGGGTCTGCAGGAATAGACACAGAAACCAGAACACACTCAAGACATGGCATTTCACTGGGGAGACAAAATCACGTCCTCATGAAACAGAGAGCCAGGGACAGCAGTGTATTTAAACAGCTGCACAGTTACTGCCATTTGGGGGCCTTTACTCTGTGCTGGGCACTGTGCTGTAGAGACTCTGTTATCCTCATCAAAAGACCCCCCACTGCACCCCCGCCCCCTCCCGGTGTGCCCCAGGTTGCTGGCCTTATCGCTGGTTCACAGCTGAGGAACCTGGGTCGAGGTTTGGCAGGCGGCCGCCCTCCAGCCCCCCAGTGAGGACAGAGCTGGCTGGGAACCGGGGTCACTCCGGGCTGGGCTCCCAGTCTCCGGTGGTTAGTGTAGACAGTGGGTGTTCTCGGTGCTCTTGGAGGCTGGAGGAAGGGGGCTGTTTTCTCTCCTGTGGGCCTCATCAGAGACCCTGGCTTCTGGTGTGGGAGCTGGGATCAGGCGCCCAGGAGCTGAGGCCAGGAGGGCACTTGGTTCTCTCTGCCCGGCCGTCGGTGTCCAGCATCGCCCTCTAGTGGCCAGGCCCTGGCCTTGCAGCCTGTGTTTCCTTAGCACAGCAGGCACGTTGGCCTTATGGGTGGGGGGTGCTTACATTGGCATGTGCCTGCGTGTGTTCAGCGTGTTCACTGAAAGGCAAGCACAGCCTCAGAAGAGAGTGATAATGTGAGGGACGAAGATGAAAGCTCTGGCCAACTCGGCCTTGCCCTGGAGTTTCATCAGGGAAGGGCCTTCTCAAGAAAGGCAGCCCCCTAGCCACTTAGAACTGCCAAGTGCAGAGGCCTGGGGTGGAGGGAACAAATGCCCGCTGGTACACCCATTCTGTATGTGCAGGGCCCAGCCACACCCAGATCCTTGCTGGCCCTGCTCTGTCCCCAAGTCCCTTGTAGTGAGTGTCATGTAGTAGACACTCGTCGTTTGATGGGGCTCACTGACTCCTCAGCTAGACTTTTCTCTTCTTCCTTTGGGGCATACATGTTCCTCTCTGTCTGGTTTTACTTTGTTTCTTAGGTAAATTTACTAGGGAAGTCATTGTCACTGCCATCCAGTGGCAGCTCAGCCTGATCCCTCCTTGAGCCAAGGGTGAGCTTTGCCAACCGTGTGGCTCTGCGTTTGCGTTTTCCCCGCAGCGGCTCCCCGTGTCGCTGTTGCTCTGCCTTCCCTCACAGCAGTGTCTTCATCTGAGAATGGGGTAATGACAGAGCTCCACAGTGCTTGGGAGGCATGGAGCCCCTCCCGGCTGCTGTGTCCTTACCATCTTTTTCCTACATGTCCCCCCCCCCGCCAGGTTTTCCACGGAGGCCATGAAGCTACAGACGGCATGTGTTGTCCTTTCCTTCCAGTTAACATTACACCATCAGCCTTTCCCATGCTGCTGTCATCTTCATAGCCATCATTTTTAATGGCTGTATAGTGTTTTGAAAATGATCTTTACTTAAAATTCTTATTAAAATGGTATATCTAAGTCAAAATTTCATTTATATGCTTAATCAAGATTGAGACTTGTTTGAGACTATTTAAAATGTGTCACATCAGCTCCTGTAAACAGAAGTGATGTTCCTGGGTGTTCTGGAGGCAAGGGGCGGGGGAAGCAGGGTGGGGGGATGCTCAAGGGCTCACCACGTGCAGTGTAAGAACCGGTAACATGGATTTCTACTCGATTTACCCCGTTTCTACTTGGAAACACTGCATTATACAAAGCTAAAACATTTACAGTGGGTCCTCAGGGCCTGCAGGCTGACAAATAAATCTCCTTTGCTCCCTGAGCACCTCTTCCATTTCTGTCTCCTTTCAGAAGTGTTGCACGCATATTCCAGTAGATTTATATAGACACGTGTTAATAGATTTCTCACTCCACCTCATTCCTTTTTTTTGAGACAGAGTTTTGCTCTTGTCACCCAGGCTGGAGTGCAGTGGCACGATCTCACTCAGCTCACCGCAACCTCCGCCTCCTGGGTTCAAGCAATTCTCTTGCCTCAGCCTCCCAAGCAGCTGGCATTACAGGAACATGCCACCACACTCAGCTAATTTTGTATTTTTAGTAGAGACGGGGTTTCTTCATGTTGGACAGGCTGGTCTCAAACTCCTGACTCAGGTAATCCACCCACCTCGGCCTCCCAAAATGCTGGGATTACAGGTGTGAGCCACCACGCCCGTCCAACCCCATTCTTTTAAAAATACAAATGAAAGCATATTAGTGTTATGTGCCGCTTTTCTCATCTCCCCCCCAATGTATATATATGTATATATATGAGCATGAAAACAAGTGAGATTTAGTATGTATGCATATCATATTTTATTACTAGTGTGAAAGTGGCATAAAGTCATCAAATTTTTTAGTAAAATATTCTGTTTGAAAAACCTGAGGTGCAGTTCAAATAACGTACAATAAGCTGTTGAGTGGCAAGCGGTTCAGCAGCATTTGGTGCCTCCACACTGCTGCACAACCCCCGCCTCAGGCGTTCCTCACGCAAAAGAATAGGCAGATACTCATCTCTGGGAGGCGTTTGTTAAAAAGCAATAATTACTGCCGGGTGCGGTGGCTCACGCCTGTAATCCAAGCACTTTGGGGGGCCGAGGCGGG